GCAACGGCGGCCAACCGACCAAATCCAGCGACGGCATCGTCATCGTCATCGTCGTCGTCGCCGTGGAGTGTTCCAATTAAACTCAACACGTCAAACAACAGAGGCGGACATCAAGTATACGCCACGCTGTGCTGCTGTTGGCATTGGCCATGCCGCTCGTCGGGATCTGGGCTCTAACGATATACTCGTTAGTCACGCGGTTAAATTTCACATGGCGCATCTTTTTAGTTTTAAAGCTATACCCGCCATAATGCCGGCATTTGTGAATACAGTGGATATCGGTACAGTATGCACAGCCGCAATTATACCTTATGTTTTAAAAGAGTAAAAAGGGCTTTCTCCAATTTTTTAAATTTAATATTTCGTGTTTCAATTTTAGCATATCATTTGGTCATTTTAAGATTTATAATTGTTAAAAAAAAGGTTACTTGGTAGAAACTTCTACGATCAATGCTAAATGGTATTAACAAAATTATAGTGATCTTGTTTAAAGAACTCTAATATTCTGAATCGATCTTTATTAACGTTTTGAAGATATTTCTTTTTATGATTTCATTTTGAATAGAACAGTATATTTTTAAACCAATAATCATTGTTGTATTGTGTGTCATACTCTTTTAAGGTTACTTATTTGAGCGAATTGAAGACATTTCGAAAACGTCTTACCCAAAAATTCTAGTAATCCTGATGGCGTGTTCCAACGACTTAAACAAAATGACGCGTAAGTTTCAGGCATATATAATGTGCCTGGCAAAGGGGCGATATCTAGTGTAGTTTTTTTTAGCATTTTTCTCGCTGCGCGTGTGTGGCATGTTTTGATGGCTTGTAACTGCTCAACTGCTCATGCATATTCATGCAAAACGGCAGCCAGAGCCAGAACCAGAGCAAACGAACGTCGGGATTGCTGTGGGGCTGACTGCAAATCAACGCGGCCACAGTCAAGTGCTCACAAGGATGTCATCGAGGACTTCCTGGCCACCAGTGTCTGCCGCCTGCATTCCGCAGTCTTAGCGCTAAGGCAGCTGTTGCCGTCAATTTTCGTTGTCGGAATACATGAATATGCAAAAGGCCACTGCGAGCCGCGACTCCAACTCAACTAACTCACTTGATGAGACAAAAGGTTGTGGCTTGCATTTGCTTCTTGGCAAAAGGCAATCAATGGCCCAAAGCTGACGCTGAGTGGCTGGAGAGCTCTCGGAAAATCTTAGAGGAGCTTCGCACTTTTACCAGAGCAAAAACTAAAGTTTAACATTATATCAATGTTGAACTATTTAAATAACTTACATATTTCGAATACGAAAGCTTTCCAAAAACTCTGATTGGCCACATATTTCTATTAAATAACTTAATAGTAGAATGTTCTTAAATAAATGTATTACTAAAGCAAAGCAAACAGCAAAAGAACAAAATTCTCATTATTACTACGTAACTTATTATTTGTAAGTCTTATTTAGTTTCAAAGAAGAAACATACAAAGCAAAATTGACTTATTTTTATGACAAGTGGCCCAATTAAATGCATATATTTGTAAGCTCTGAGAATACGTTATACAAACAAACTTGTTAAATTATTATTATACAATACAGTTACTTATGGTGAACAGTAGGGGACTAAAAAAATGCACAGAAATATTGTAATTGATGTTGAAAAAGGATTAAAAGCCTATCCGACAACGAAATCTGAAGTGGTTCCCGTGACATCCCATTATAAGCCTGATATTATTATTTATTTCCTGTGCATTCATTTATTTGCATGACAAGAGCATCAGATTATCCCACAGATATTGATATATGGGAATCGGAAGACCATGCTGGGACCTCAATATTATTGAAGTTTAGTTGTACCTGTCGTACCTTAATATACATAGTTTCATGTCCGCATTTCGAATGCATTAAAATGCATGCAAAAAGTTATGTATGCGTTCATATAAAGTCTTGCGAAGAAGCAGCAGAAGGAACTTAAATACTTGTCATGGCAAATACTTCGATGTTGTTGCTGCTGGCATGCTGATGTTGCTGCTGTTGCCGTTGCTGTTGCCATTGCCATTGCTGCTGGGCAACAAGCAAGGAGCAACATCCTTCGGAAGTGGCAAGCAAATGTGTCTGTCAGCGTGCCTGTATGTATGTGCATGGTGTTGTTGTTGTGCATTATGTTGCATTTGCAATGCAAATGCTTTTGTGCTTTTTGTTGATGTCGCTGCGACAACGACGACGATGAGGCTTATGTTGCTGCTACTGCTGCTGCTACTGCTCCTGAGCCTTTTATTTCTTTATTGTGGCTGCCACATTGTGCGTCTATTCAGCAATAAATGCATGTGTGTGCGTCTCTCGTAGAGAGTGTTTCATTGTGTGCGTATTTGCATTTGCTTTTTGCTGTTTATATTTCTAATAAAAATTGTACGTTATTTTATGCTTCGATGCACTACACTAGGCATATTCAATAGGGGAAGTTAGTGCTGTTGTCGTGAGAATCTATACAAAAAATTATTGCAAAAAAATCTTCTTATATTGTCCTTTATAGCAAGATCTGACGCTTTTGATTAAAATATTTTAAAATTTATATTATATCAAAAGTAAATATATATGTATGTAGTAATACTAACGGGACCTATTAATAAAGAGTGTAAATAGCTTTAACTTGCTGTTCTAGGTTGCCAAATAAATAAATAAATAAAGCATAAGGGTCTTATAACTTTTAAATACAGCAATCGACAGCCAGTACGTGCACTTTAATCAACTCATGATAGAGAAATATATTTTTTATAATATGCTATAATAACTATTTCTGGTTTCTGCCCTGCAGCAAAATAACAATTTATCACGCAACCATATTTGTCAACTTGGGATAACGAATAAAAAAAAAAATTTTTCCGACGGAGCAAAACTCTAGGCGGAGTGCGTGAGGGCGTGGCTGGAAAACCCCCCTCTTTCTGGGGCAAAGCAACTGGCTGATAAACACAAACAAATGTGGGCGACAACAGCTCGAATAGGCGACGGAAAATGGTTGGCGTTGTTCTCGTTTCGCTTTCCGCGCAGTTCCCGTTGCATTCCATTAACATTACAAATGTATTCATTGTTCGCAACAGGCAGCGGCAGCAATGACGCCATTATGTGAAAATGTGACAAGTGATAGAAAGGATAATGCCGCCCCCCTTGTTCCTACCCCCTGCATTTTGCACCCTTCGTCACGAAGCATGTGAAACTTTTTTCCTTTGCTGTTGTTTTTGCTTCTTTATGCGCAAGTGGCTTTATTATTTGTTTTTCCCGCTCGCACGCTAATATTGCCAGATATGTGTGTATATATGTGGTGTCTGGCTTACTGCAGATGCTGCACGGCAAACAAAAACAATAAATGGAGCGAAATTTATTTCTGGAAGAAGTCTTAATACCCTCTTAATCATTAACCTTAAAACTTTACGCCTGATTTCCAAAAATAGTAAAAGAATTGGGAGATTTGTTAAACTTTTTATGATTCAGCTTCGATTTGTTATCATTTAATATTTTTTATTTTTGCTTCGATAATTTCCATTGATTGTCCACACTTAATAGGTTACGAACCATTTTCTCTTAAACTACATTTAATTCATTGTCAAGAAGAACTTTTTGTTGAAATATATTTTAGTAAATTTAGCGGCTGTCATTTTCTTTCAGCTTAATGATTATTTTATATTGTTTCGAAAAATTCCTGAAGGTATTTTATATTTTATTATATGATTATATTATCTTTATTATTATTACTTAAAATAGTGTTTCAAAAATTTTGAAAATAAATGCTTAATTTTGTTATTTACCATACTTAATATTTATTGCCAAAAACTTGTTTTCTAGTAAAGGGACTTTTTGCTCAATAGAAGAGTATCGAAAACTAACAACAACAATCGTGAAAGGATGACAAAATCACAGAATGCCAAATTGTTTTCCTATTATTGTTGCCATTGTTGTCGCTGCCATCATCATCAACATTGTTGTAGTTGTAGTTGTATTTGTAGCTGTAGTCGTAGTTGTAGCTGGTGCTGTTGTTGAGCTTATCGTTATTTAAATTAGCATTACAATGCACTCACACTGGCACACACACTGCGTGACATGGCAACCATATTGTTGCTTTGGGAGTTGTTTGGTGCAACGCAGAAGAGGACAATTTTCCAACTAGGTTGCACTCCCATGACTTCCCAGCCCAACCTATTTCATCCCACCCACTCACTCCGGGACTCTTTTGTGATTCCTTCCGATTGTGTCGCAGCGTTTAATAAATTTTTAATTAAATTCGAAATGCTTTGAGAGCGATAGACAAGTAAACAAGTCAAATAAAATCAAATAGACTTTGCATGCATGTTTTCGATGATGTTCGCTTTGTTATAAAAAATTGTTAGAGAGGCATCTAAAAACAATATCATCAATAAATCAATTCTCTCGATCCGATCTGCATGTTAAATTGCCAACCATTAAATTGTTGTATGATGTGCAATTTTAAATTTAAACAGCTGATTTCCTTGCTGAAAAACAAGTTAAGGATGAGTAAGCCCCCGACGCGTTTGAATAAGAAAAGCTCCAAGAATGGAAACGAAAACATTTATAAATTTCACACAACAATGGCATAGAAATAGCACAGGAGATGCCAATTGATGGACGCACAGATACACACGAGTACATAAAATGTGTCTAAGCAACAATTTGGCATTATCCGCCTTTGTGCAACCCGTACAAATTTGGAAAACTCCGATACGGAACGCTGGAAAAAGGAAAAATCCACTTTGATATTATGCAATCGTGCATGGCGAAGGAGTTAGATTGGTGCGATCTGTGGGAGCTCACTGCAAAGTGATGGCGTACAAAAGGGAAAACATTATTCATGTTCGAAACCAATCGCATAGAACCCACCACCCACCTTACTGCTCAGACAGGTGTGCAAAATAGCTGACAAATATTTCACAGATGTCACCTTTTTACGGTCATTTGCTGGCACGGAGCTCGAAGTATGTCAATAATTGGCGAATTACTAACTGAACTTTACTTCTATTACTTTATTTCTGATTTTTCAAAAGCGGTTTAATGTATTCAGACTTAAATTTGAAGCCGAATGGTCAATTTCTGGATGATTTCGATTTGTGGAGAATTAATTTGAAGGCAAGGCATCAACTTCTTTATGGACCGGCGGCAGGGTCACCTGCTGTAATCGGCTTTGGCTCTTAAGAAGATTCATTGTCCGATTCAGCAGACCATCGACAGCGTCATTATACGTCTTTCCTAAATCCTGCACAGCAAAATAAGTTATTAGAAATGTTATGAAATGAGGAAAGCAAAATTACTCCGGCTAGCCGAAGCTTATATACCCTTAAGGTATCACAACAATTGATTCATGATGCTGACCACGGGTATAATGTAACGTAATATCTGCACGGATTACCCTAAATTGTTCCGAAGTGATTTTGTTAAAATCCGATGTAATCGAGTTCAGATCTTCTTTGACCTTATCTATAGCTCTTAGGACCGGCGAGGTAGTAGGTTCTTCACGAGCAATGCGTGCAGACATGGCCACCTGAAATGAAGTTTTACATTAGAAATTCACATAACCGTCGTCCCCTTTCGGATTTGAAAATTTAACTTACTGCTAACAGGGCGAACAGAAGAAAGATGACTGCAATTTTTGCCATTTTGAGTATGGTGTTTTTTAGTGATACGGAGTTCTGAACCGGAGAACGTTGTCTTGTGAACTGATGGAACGTCTGATTTCCTACTCATAACGACACCTCGTTTTACGTCGCAGCCGGGCCGACAGACACATTTATATGTATTTTTAAATACCTAGTGATTTCTGTAGAGCCCCAGAATGAATTTGTATTTGCATTAATATAGTGCTGATTTCCAATGTGATAACTAATATAAAAATTATATGTAAATTAATTAAATTATTAAATTTCAAAATAAATTCATCAAGGGGAACGATATGTTGTTACAAATCTTTATAGAATATAATTAATATGAAGCTTGGCTTCATTTAAAAATCGATTCGTCAAAAACCCTCAATCTTCGAAAGCCCACTGCCAGTCCCAAGATTGTATAATAAGTCCCAATGCCTGAAAAACAGCAAACCATTCTTTTAAGCCCCCATTGTGGAAGGTTGGAATATAACTTGTATGGTTTTTAGCAATCAAAAAACTTTGGTGCTGAGCAGTTGTTTTACTTGAGGCACCCATCGAAAAATGTGAGTATTTTCGAGTTTCTGTTGTTGTACGTTGTTTTAAACTCCTTAATATTTTTTTTTTTATAAAAATGGAACCAAACCTTGGCGTTTTAAAAATGATGCGTGGAGCAAAATTCATTGCGCGCTCCCCAATAAGAATGATTTCCATGGGAACTGAATTTTAAAGATTTATTAGGCACATTTGTGGTGGTTTAATTTAAAGCCAATCCATGAACGTCTTAATGGGCTGGGGGCAAGGTCACCTTCTGGAAATCGGCGCTGCCTTGAGCAACACCAGCCTTTACCTTCTCCAGAGCATCAGCGGCAGCTTCACCAAACTTGCTTGTGAATTCCTGTGTAAGAAAAGAAGCGATTAAAAAGGGTTCTTAACGGGAAAGGAAGTTTAGTTCTGCACGCTGTCCAAAATTTTTGTCCACTCTGCATGGGTATAACATTTTCATGAATTACCTTAATTTGGGGAGAGTCGGCTAAGTCTTTAAGGTTCTGTGCAATCTTCTCAAGACCTTCTTTGGCCTTGTTGAAAGCATCGTCGATTGGCGAAACCGTGGGCTCCTCGCGAGCAATGCGGGCAGACATGGCCACCTGAAACCAAAGTTGCACATTAAAACGCTTGTCTTTTGCCGAATTTCCAACTTCAACTTACGGCGAACAGGGCGAACAGGAAGAAGATCACTGCAAACTTTGCCATTTTGAGTTAGGGTTTTTTAGTGCTACGGAGCTCTGAACTGGAGAACGTTGACTTGAGTACTGATTGAACGTCTGCCAAACTACTCATAACGACACCTCGTTTTGCGTCGCAGCCGGGCCGAATTTGAGCGCGGCTTATCGCCACTAGGAAGGCCGAGCGTTTAGGGCTCCGCAACTGACCCGTGATAAGCGTACTTTTTTCCGTCGCATGCTGTGGGCTGGCTTTGATCGGGAATCTCTAATTCGGTTTGCTTACAGATGATAGCGTTTGTGTGAAACCACAAACACATTGAGAAAAATTCGTTTATTTTAGGACAAATTTTTTAATTTCTGGGAAAATGACCTAAATATAGTCCTAACGATGAAACATTTTAGGGAAAAATGTAGCCATGTAGCCTAAGTTATTATTAACGTGAATTGTTCTTTAATTTATTTTTTATTTTTGCCAATATATTTTAAAACACATTTTTAAAAAGTTTTCTTTTGATATTTTTTAAATTATTAATTATATAAGCTTTGCTATTCTAAGATTGTATATAAATAATGTGTCAATTTATTACGTATATAAATTCTTTTTTTCTAATTGATATTTCTATCAAATTTAAATTAGTAGTTAAAAAACTTAACAGTTAACATTTCTCCCCAAGTGTATTTTAAAAGATATGCATATTTGTTTTTTTTTTGTGTATTTTTTCAAAGTTAACTTTTTTTTCTAAAAGGCGGCTTAGATTTGTTTTATTTTCTTTTTTAATCATTTTTATTGTTGCTTTGGCAGCATCCGTCACGGAAAAGCACGTGGCAAATGGTCTCATGTTGATAAGCAGTTTTTTTGAAATTCTTGATAAGACGCCCCACATTTAAGTAATTGTGCTAAGTCATCATCGTACTAGTATTAAATTAAATACACAGTACAACACGGAAAAATTTTAATAGCGAGTTATGCCAAAATTAATTCTCTTATTTCGATTATAAGTCAAAAACCGCGACAAAGTTTACTAAACTTAGAGGGGTAACTTGAGCACGGCGAACTCTTCTGTTAAAGGGTAACCTAATCCACTTTATAGGCTTAATTACTTTTAAACTGCGGAAAAACCTAAAGATCTCGTAAAATAGAGTACACTGTAGCTCACCTCCAGGGGTTAAAGCTTTTAATTCCGTTTGCTTAAATAGTTTATATATATGTATACCTTTTGTGAATGATTTGAATAAATGACAAACTGAACTGATGAAAAGTACAGTTCGCTGATCTCGACAGACAGACAGATAAGGCGTGAGTTTACTGCCCGGATTTCACTAAAGATTATATAATAATTTGAAAAAGTCAATGTTTTTGTTGATGCTGAAACAAAAATTGCAATCGGCAACTTTCACTTTGGCTTTAAAATTATTGCTTTAAGAAGCTGTCTTATATATACATTTAATTTAAATGGTAGATATTTAAAAGTCAAAAAATACAAAACTGAAAAAAATTAAGGTCTCGAATGATTATTTAACAGACTTTTATGTTGACAAGTCACATTGGTAAAATTTTCGCATTATTTTGATAGTTGAGTTACGGTTTGTTCATACGCCCACCAAATAACAAGGTTAAAAAACAGCTGTTTTACGCTACCATGGGTTAAGCGAGTATCATATTTATATAATTATGAAAAGTTAATACAAAAACTTGTGCATTTTGTTAGGAGAATGCTTCTAAGCCATTTTGGCTATAACTTTACGCCTATATTCAAGAGCAATCCATTACACAATAAATGTGAAGTGCGACGTTTAAGGGGTTTCCCAACCGAACTTGGCAGCCAGATGCTCGGTTGGTAACAACGAACTAAGCAGCGAACAGGGCTCAAAGTGGATGACTTTATGCCTCGTCTTGGTGTTTGCTCCAGACACAGACACAAACAGACCAAATTAAGTGGCAGCGGCAGTCTAAAGCACCCAGCTCCCCAGAACCACTAATAAATTTTCATTTGGCGCTATGAAAATATTTAATTGCAATTTCGCCAAGTGGCTGGAACTTGGTCCAATGGACCGGTCTGCCGGCTGGACGGGTTGAAGTTCTCCTAGGGCACCGAACTGAGGATGTGCTCCGGCACGGGCGGATGACATTGGGGCAGGGGCGGGCCCAGGGTGGGGTAGGTTCGCAGACGGAGGAGCTCCAGTATCGTCTGCAATTCCAGCACATGGGCGTAGTGGCGGCGCACATTCTCCATCAGCTGACGATGGGTCTTGATCTGCGACATGCTGCGGGTTAGAGGAGTGGTGCTCTTATCAGTACACTCAGAATATTAACAGGCAATTTATCAAATAACATATATTTTGAATAAAAATAAATATAAATTGACCTAAATGTTCGGCATTGTTTTGATGCAATTTAATACTTTTTAATTACTTTAAATGAGCTGATTAATTTTGACTAAAATAAAGAATAATTTCTATTTATACTTACTCAAATTTTTAATATAATATCAGTTATATTTAAACTGAAGGTTTAAACAACTAACAACCTTAAACCATTTTTATATCACCTTTATAAATTATTATTCTGTGAAAAAAACTTTCGAGAAAAGCTAAAAATTACATTTAATTATTTTAAATAAAATTATTGTAAAGTTTAAACCTATCTACTCGATAGAAATACTAACTAAATACACATTTTCGCGAGTGAGGTACAATCTAATACGAAATTTGTATGAACTATGGTAGACATCTTTTTTTGCAGTGTTCGGGTGTACAGTTGTATAGTTCCCGTTGGAGAGGTTATCTTACCGCTCGCGCTGCTCGCGATCCCGCTTCTCCTCCATCATAGTATCGCGCAGAGTGTTCTGAAAAGTGACGTCCACCTTGATCCGCTCGATTTTGAAATCGATGGCGTGATTGCTGCGCTTTACTTCCAGGGTTTGGGCCTTGACCGAGTCGATTTTGATGTTCCTTGGGTGGCAACAGTTTGTTTTTTTTTTAATAGTTAGGGAGCACTTTGAGCAAGCACAACTTACACTCGATCGATGTTCTTCTTGAAGGCGGCTATCTTTTGCTCGATCACTCGTTCGATGGCCCCGCCCATGTACTTCTGGCGCTCGGTCTTGACCTTTTCCCAGTTGCGCAGAATGTTCAGGAACTCCATCGAAACCTTGCACTTCTCGATGGCATCCAGCATGTATTTAAGGTAGGCTATATTGGCCTTGTACAGCTTGTGTTCCCACTCCTTGAAGATCACCTGGCGCCTGAAAACGGCCACCCTCTGCATGGCCTTGATCTTTTTGTTACCGGCTTCCTGAAGGTGTTTAGATTGTTATTGTCTTGAAATGTTTCTCCACTAATGGTTTTACGACCTACCTGTATTTGAAAATTCACATCGTTGATGTCGTCCACGTGCATGAGAACTGTGTTGGTGAGCTTGGTGAACTTACCCAGTACCGAGACTTCAACCTGGCCCTTTGTGAGGGTCAACTGGATCGTCATGTTTCTCATTTTTTCCAACTGCAGTGCAAAAATTCATAATATAGGTAGGATATAAAGTTATAAAAAGTATACGTGTTGGATTTGAATATGAAAGGTCTAACATATTTAATGGAACTGTATAAGAGTTCTTTAGTAACCATTACTGCCCAAAAGTATGCTGTAATTTCATTTCTAGGTAACTATTTCAATTTAACGCTTAACATATCTTATTTATTTTTATATCGCTTTAATTATATTTTGGAAAATAATGCACGATATCGTAGCAAGAAAAATATTTATATTTATATTTAGATCTATTAGAAAACTATTTAAATTTAACTCTTAAGGTATAATATTTATTTTTATATTCCTTTTATTATATTTTTGAAATGTTGCAAGAAATCGTAGCTAGAAAAATATTTATATTAAGATCTATCAGTAACTGAAAACGCAATGGGAAATGAAAAAAGATAGTTTTTAGCTTGGTAAGCGTACTTATAAATGAGAGTTAAAGAATTTCTAAAGTTATATTGGTTGTTTTCTGGCTTAATGCTGCATTTGCAGTGCGGTTAATTGTGATAATAGTCGGTAAAATTAAAATTATATATATACATAAACCCATCTGACCCTAAACTTACGTAAGTTTGTATGCTCTCCTCGGCATAGTGCAGCGTCAACACCTTGGACTCCTTGAGTGCCGCGAGGTCCTTGACGAGGGCATTCAAGTAGATCTGGCTGTCGAGCAGCTGGTACCCAATGCCCTTGATCCGCAGCTCGCTCTCCGTCTTCTGGCGTCGCAGCTTGACGAAGGTGTCCCAGGACTTGGCGTCCACCTGCGGGGGACACTGTTTGGGCTGGTCGAACTCGGCCAGGTAGTTGAGGAACTCGAGGACATCGTCGGCCAAGGGGAACGGTGTGCGATGGCTGGGCTTGCCACTCAGCTTGTTCGCGGCCTCCATGCAGATGAGCATCGAGTTGAAGATCTTGCTGGGCAGCTTGGGCCGTTTCTTGAAGAGCTTGGTCATTTCGTGGGTGGCATGTGGCACCAGGGGCAAGAACTGGCTGCGAAACTGGCGCTCGACGGTCCGATCGCGAGTTTGCTGGGCCTCCAGTCGCGTTTTGACATCCAGAAAGGCCTTTTCGTAGAAGTCCGTGAGATAGCCATATCGCGTCATGTACTCGGTCAGCTTGTCGATGTCCTTGCGGAACATGCTGTACCGCTTTCGCAACTGGACGCGGCCGAAGTTGCTCTGCTCGAGGGTGAGCAGACGCAGTTGTCCCTGTTTCAGGGCAAAGTCGTACTTCAGTTTCGTGACCATCAGCTCGGCCACCCGCTGATTGAGTTTCAGAATGTGGCTGGCCTTCAGGGCCAGCGTTTTCTCCTCGTTTTCGTGCAGGATGCGCAGGTACTTGCGGCGGTCCAGCTCCAGCAGATGCACTGCCTCCTCGTAGGCCCGGTAGATTTTTTGCTCCTCGAGATTGTACTCGTGCGGCTGCTTCTTCTGCACGAACTCCGGCTCGGGGATGTCTTTCTTGATCTCCTCCTCCCACAACTTCTCCAGCACGCCGTCCATCATGACGACGAGGGCTCGAGCCCAGAACTCGGTGCTCCACAGCAGCAGTCTCCCCTTCTTGCCGCCCGTGTCGATGGTCTTGGGCTTCCGCCGGTTGACCGCCTTGATCTCCGAGTCGTCCACCTCCATGATCCGCTTGATCACCTCGTCCTGCTCCAGTCCGGGCATCGTGAGCTCGGGCGGCTGGAACTGGTCCATGTTGAGCAGTCGCAGCATGATGTTCATGTTGTCGTAGATCTTGTTGAGCACCGCGTTCGTGTTCAGCACACTGTCGATGGTGTCCTGCTTGAGTTGCTGCGCCTCGTGGAAGAGCTTGTTGAACTCCTGCTTGAGCGGATCATTGAGGTAGTAGCGTATCTTGCAGTTGTAGTTGAACAGCTGGTTCGACGTGACCAGGTCCTTGTCCTGCAGCTGGAACTCGGGTGCCATGATGTGTTCGTAGACACTGGGTCCCTCCACCACGAACTGCTTAAGTTGGCGCAATCCCTGCTCCGTCTCCTTCTCCTGCTCCTCCTCGCCCAAGTCATCAACTTCGGGGCCAGCTGGTGGTCCATGACCTGCCGCGGCCGGAGCTGCTGGCTGCTCCTCCTCCAGCGAACCCAGCGACAGGCGGAGGTGGTCTTCCAGGTCGTAGAAACGATACTTGTCGAACTCGGCCATCTCGATCTTGCGCCGCACCGAGAAGCTTTCGAAGTTGGCATCGGCGAAGATGGAGCGCACGCGGTAGTTGATGCTCACTGCATCGCGGGTGACCAGGCGCAGGATCCAGTCACGGATGCGGGCCTGGTCGGCAATGGCCCGCTCCAGCGATTCGCGCTCCAGGGCGCACAGCTTGTGCGCCTCCTCGGTGAGGGCGTCCAGCCAGCGGTAGTGGAAGCAGAACTTCTTGAAGATGCCTTGCGTTTTGCCCGTTTTCGAGATGTCATAGTCGATCAGCGCCGTCACCTTGGCCGCGAAGTCCTTAATACTGGCAAACAGCTTGTCCCGCTTCAGCAAATCACCCCTCGTATACTCCTCCTTGACCTCCTGCCGCAGGCTCAGCGGCACAAACATGTCCACCTTGTGGAGCGTCTGCTCCACGTAGCAGGCAATGCCCTCCTCCACGGGCAACTGCAGGGCCACATTCTCACGCACAAAGTCCGCCAACGAGGGCAGTCGCATCACCCGCAGGCTCTTGTTTGCCAGCAGAATCAGCAGGTATCTATGTATAATTTATATATTATAATAAAACCATCATCCAGTTGAAGCCAGATACCCACTTGGAATTGAAGCACTCCTTCACCCTGAGTATAAACTCCGTTTGCATGCCTATGTTGAGGAATCGGCAGATCATGAACGGCTTCTTGGCCCGCTTGTGCTGCTTGAAGTGCACCAGGATGCCGCCCAAGCTCCAGGTGACCAGATGTTTGGTCATGCCCACGCCCAGGATGTAGCTAAAATGTCCCGACTTCGTGGAGGCGATCCACTGCAATTCGTCCCGTTCGTTCAGCGCGAATTGGTCGAAGTTGAAGCTGTTGTACTCGGTGGCCACGATCTCGATCACCGCCCACCTGCCCACCGGCGGCTGGACGCAAAAGAAGCCGTACTCCCTGGGCAGCACATACTCTCGCCTGTGCAGGCGCCGATCCTTGCCCCAGTTGTAGAGCCACAGTTCGGTGGCGAAGCCGGGTCGCTTCAGGTTGTGATTCCTGTTGATGAAGACCAACAGACGCGGTCCGTCGGCCAGCAGGAAGGTGTGCACGAACACCTGGGTCAGTTCCGGCTGGTCCAGCTCGAAGTAGTGCGTCAGCTTGTGCGGCCTGGTATCCACCTGGACGACATGCAGCGACTTGGTCTGGTCCTGGAACACCAGCCAGCTGTCGTTGTAGTCCAGTCCGACCACGGCCGCCGTCTCCATCTTCAGTTCGCACAGCACATGCGGCAGGTTGGCCCGCTCAAAATGGATGAGCACGATGCGGGCGTCCAAGGTGCCCACGGCCACCATGGCCAGACTGCGGTGGTTGCCCATGGCCGAGGACCCCGGCACCGAGATCTCGCACAGCGTGTGGCCCTTGGCCAGGTCCAGCATGGCCAGCCCGTCATCGTACATCGCGCACACGCACTCCTCCTTAAGACCCGGCAGTATGCGGAAGGTGAGCACCGGTCGTCCCGTCGGCACCACGCACTCCAGCGAGACCGCCCCACTGCGATCGATCATCACCTGGTCAATGTGACCCGGACGACGCTCCGCGTAGGCCTCCCCATTCGTGTTGCTCAGGAAGCGGACGACCTCGTGCAGACGAGCCTCCAGCTCCCACTCGACCTGGAATTAAATTAATTAATTAAATTAACTGCGGTAGCTTCAGTCTTAGGACAACTAAAAATACATTTCAATTTCGTAAAAAATAAGGTGGGAGTAGGATTAATTTTTTGATTTTTTTTTTTTTTAAATAATGTACAATATTATAAGAATGTTGTGTCTAAACTTGAAGTCGGTCGGAGACAAATTCACGAAGGTACTTCTCTCTTAATTTATTCACGATAGCTGTTATAAACAAAGGTACTAGTCAATATAAAGTAGATATTTGACCATAAATTATATGATTAGAAAAGTATAATGTAGTATAGTGCTTCATAGACGCAATCTATAATTATTAATGTGCCTCTAACCTAAATTTGACTTAATTTCTAGTTACATCGGGTTCGTAGTCAAATATATGTTCCCATAACAATTATTGTAAATGGTTGACCGATTTGTATTTAATTGATATTGGCTCTTACTGTAAGTTTTCTTATTGTAGTTTTATAGCATATATATATTTCATATAACAAAAAAGTCAATACGATGATTGTAATCAAATTACAGTACGTTAAGGCTTTGCAAACCTACATATAGCTTACATATATAATTCATTTAAGAAAAAATTATTACTTTAGTTCGACCATATATCTAGCTATGTTTGTCCTTTAAATGAATCAATAGGTTCTTTCTAAAATATTAATAGAAAAATGATATATTCAATACGATAAATAAAATAAAAAAAAATAACCATAATGACTTTAAATGAATCGATCGTTCTGTTTTTAAATACTAATGGTATGAAGATATATTCAATACGACAATTGCAATCAAACCTACCTTGTAGACCCCTGCCTTCTTCTTCACATAGACGGCGCCCGAGCTGTTCCAGATGATGAACCCGGATCGGTGTAAGGTGAGGCCATGGTGACGGGGGAACTTCTCCGCATTCTCATCCTCGTCACTGGGGCGCCACTGGGGCCTCAGGGCGAAACAGGCCACGTCGACGATGTGCAGGTGCCCAAAGTCGTTGGTGGCGTACAGACAGTTGTCGTCGCCAAAGGTCATGCAGCCGTCGCAGGACTTCAGGTAGTCCTTGCCCAAGTCCACCTCGGCCACCTTGTACAGGAAGGACTCCTTCTCGAAGATGCAGATGTCGTAGCACAGGATGGTCATCTCCTGCTTGTTCAGCTGCACGATGGCGGGCAGATAGGTGGGACCGATGATAATGCCGCGTTCGATGGTGGGCACATTGGTGGGGTGTTCCAGCACCAATGCTCCAGTGCGGTAGTTATAGACGCATATGCAGTAGTCGGGATAGCCGCCCACGGCGATCAGAATGTCGAGCTCCGAAAATCGAATATCGGTGAAGCTTACCATGTGAGCTAAAGGGATTTAATCATTTTCACATATTCAGCACTGATTTAAAGGATAGACAGCTAGACAAACTCACGTGGAATGGAACTGAACCTGGACATATCCGGATAGCGGTACACGTAGATATTGGGTCGCAGGACGGCCTCGGCAAAGGCGAAAAGTGGAAAGCGGTTGTGTCCGGAAAAACAACTGATACTCAGTCCGGTGGCCACCGTCTCCGCCTTGAAAAAACTTACAGCCTTTGTTTGCATGTGGACGAACTTGATCGCATTGCCATTGCGCTGGCACAGGACATCGGGACCGACATTCACGATGGTGTCCTTGTCCCAGACGTTGCACCAACTGTGTTTTAGATGAGTAAGGGCATGTTTCTGTTAAATATTTAATGTATACCCACCAAACCGACGAGATAATATTCATGTTTGAACTGTTCGATGCCTCCGATTTTATAAAATGCTCTTCGACTGCCAGTCAACGAGTTCTGGGGTTGCTAAGATGACTATTTACCTAATGGAGTTTGTTTTGTTTCCCTGGGTAACCATTAACAAAAGGGAGCATTTTGGCGGTAAAATAAAATTTATATGTTGTAAATGGTAAAAATAAGTTATGGACTTAAATCTTGTTCATTTTCTTTAACATATATTTAACTGTAATTACAAACTAATCATAATTCCTTTCTTCTTCGGTAGTAGCAGAATGAAAGTAGAATAGACTAACAACAGCCGGCTTAAAGTTGTTAAATAGTTGTATCAGATGGCTAAAATCGATGTAATAAGGGAGTTTTTAACCATTATTTTCTGTCACCAAATTTCCCAGGCGACAACTTCTCTGACCCAAGTAAATTGTCTGGCCGGCCAACTTCCTCTCAAAAGTACAAACAATAAAAGTGCTGGACTATAAAAAGCCAACGCCTTAGACAGCCGCTGCGCAATTATATTTGTTTGTTTTTTCCCTGGCTGAACGTTACTTTAAAATTTGATGCGGCTTGTTATTTTTATTGCCAAAGCGTTATGGTTAATGGGGTTCCTTTTTTCCTGGCTCTAAGCGGTGATAGGTAATTTTTTTACGGGTCACCGGGGTGTCGTTGTTTGTGTTTGTGGTTGCTATTAAATTTCTGCCAATTACACAATTTCAGTATGTATATTTTATATCAGTAAAGCCATTCTTTAATGCTATCTTTGAATGTTATTACTTATTTTAATTGAATAGCAGGGAGTTAAATTAAGACCTCAGCCGTTTAGAAACATTTACACAATTTACAATTCTCCTCTTAAAAATATCACAGCCTAATGAGGATGAATTAGTTGAAATTGGCTTAAACGCACATAAATTAAATCACTTTGCCATCGATTTATTCCTCGCGGAAGGCAATTAAAACCATTTTAGCAGAGATTTTCATTTACATGGACCCATAAATTTTATTTAAAGCCCGAAATATGTTTAAATAAAATCCTAAAAAGCACGGCTCAACGCCGAAAACTAATGGCTGACAACAAATACATAGAATGCATGTTAAATTGGGCTAACAACGGAAATGGTCTTTAGGCCGCTGGGTCAGATTTGTTTGCTGGCGGAATAAAAACTAATTTGCCGGGCTTACTATTTAAATTTGTTAAACATTTCGCACTCTAACAAATTAGCTTGAAAAGTGTGCAGAGTAGAGCAGAATTTAATATTAATGTGGGGATTTCCCATTCACGAAGAGTCCGACCCGTCGATATGCTAATGAATAAAGAAATGGAAAGTCCCGACGGCCCATGTGGGTAAGGAAACGAGCTGGGACTCTGGTCCTGGGTCAAAAGGGCAACCCCACTTTGTTGGTTCCTTGCCAGACGCTTAGCCATCTGCCAGCCAATTGTGTGGCCTATTCAACTGTTGTTGACAAGACGGAAGGAAGGAATTTTCAGCACATCAGCGCAATCTTTTCTACAAAGTTGCCTTTTTTACGAGGGTCGCTACCTGTGGAGGATGTGCCGTATGCCATCGTGCTCCTGTTGACGTCGTCTGGCCTTTATAAAATATTTATTGCCACCACCTGAATGGCATGTCGAGGTGGCCAACTTTGGCCCGCCTTTGGGATGCTATTTCCCCCCAGGTGGGGTTATTAACATGTTAAGGAGATAAGCAAAAAATTGTGAAAAATTGCCGGTTTCGACGGCCATTTCTCCTGATGCATTGTGAATGGATTCCATGGGTCGGCGCTCTGGAATTTCTACGGGGTTTCTAAATCGCTGCCATTGGGGATGCTTTATTTAAAGACTACTTTTTTAAGAGATTTTTTGTAAGATATTACACATAATTGTGTAAACATTGTATAAATCTGATATTTTCAGTTTCTTGGTTGAAGTTCGACTTCTAAGATTCCGAAAACCTCTTATTTATTTTAAAATAAAATGCAATATACACTTTTAAATGTAAATATTAAATTAAGGGTATTTGACAAATCGAAGTACGTTATTATTGTTTTTATTATTATTTTCAAAATATAAATTTTTCTTTGTTTCTTTATCACTAAAAGTTTCATCTGTGGACTGTCTGAGGCCTTCAACCCGAGGGTCAGTCGGCATGATTACTCATGTTGAACATACACATCCGACGGTAGACACATGTACACAATTATCGGATGACATAACTATAACTGCTGCCAGATGATACCGAATCGGTATTACCAGTGCCCCCGGGAGAGAGAGAGGTATGGTATGAACGGGCTGAGTGCTACTTATGGCACAATAATGATTTACATTGCATAGTTAATGCGTTTTTAATGAGTGCCTGCATGCTATTATAAAAAGTTGTGTGTGCAGCGGAAACTTGTCACCAGAGATTTGAGATTTCCCCGCCGCACAATGGGAAAGTTGCCGGCATTGGCATCGTCATAGTCATCGTCATCGTCATCGTCGTCTTGCCGCAAAGCCGCCTTAAGCGTTTGCAAAAGTTCTGCAGCACTCGAGTCATTAACATTAAAGACATTCCATGTTGCCAACGTGGTGGAGCTGGTGGTAGTGACGGTGGTGGTGGTGACGGTGGTGCAGATGGCGAAAAAGTTCGCCCCTCATATGGGAAGGCGGCACTGCAGGGGCACATAAATAATTGAGTGGCGCCCCAAAGTAGGCAGCAAAGTGCACCCAGCAAACTGCAAACTGCAGACAGCAGGTGCGGCCAGCGGATGTTAAGCAGGGTGGTTGAGTGGGTGGCTCAGTGGGTGGCTGGCCAAATGGAGGACAGCCAAACTGCTTGGTTATGCGAATGCTGTGGGCTGCATTTACTTAAATAGAGAAGCCGCCGGGCCAAAGCGAATGGGCGTGGTCTTGATTTTGGTTTTCTATTCGCTTAAGGATGTTGCATTAAATTAAGGAGAAATTCAAGAGATTTTATCAAGGCAAGGCTGCAGACACAATTTCTAAGAAATTTTCTCAGAAAATATAATAAGCTTTTAGTTGAATTTAAAAATTTGGTTGAAACTGACAAGGTTTATGTGATTCCGAGGTTTGACATTGGGCTATTATTTAAATCAGATAGAAAGGACAAACACATTTATAAAACAATTATATAGTTATATCCTAATGTTTTTCTAATTCTCCTAATGCTTAAAAAACTTTTAAAAATGAAATATCGCACAAAGTCACATTACAACAACAGTAATCATAAATAATTTTTGCTTGAATAGTAATACATTAAGTTTTCAACCAACGAGCTGTTTATGAGCAGTTTGATGCCTGAGTCTCGTCATCACACGCCTCTTTGTTCAGTAGAACTGGCAGCTGATTATACTGTGCTGCTATGCATTACAAGAGCTGTTGTCGCGCAACTCGTTAAATTTCCATCAGGGAGCGTGCTGTGCACCATATTGCCCCTAAATGTCACCCAGCCGACGAGGAAGCTCTTGCAATGAACTCTGATGTCCTCACGTATTCGTATGATATCGATTTGACTTACAAAACCCATACACCCAGACACACTCGCTTAGCTGTCACACATGTCCGTAATTGATATTTTATGAATGAAATGTAAACACTTTTTTTACGATTCCGGGCAGAAGAGCGCCACAATGGGACTAAACTCTAAAATTTATTAAAAATATAATTATTAAGAATATGCTCCTTTTATTAATTGTCTGCTATTGTTGAAGCTCAGTTGGTATTTATTTATTTGATTTACACCGAACCCTGCCTTCAGATTTTCGAGCTTTGATTTGGTAGATTTTTAGTTGGATTTTATTTCTAATAGGATTTGTTTGTTTATGGGCCAAAGATCAGACATTCGCGTTTATGGTTTTATAAAACTAAAGACAAGTAAGCTTGTCTTATCAAACAAACAATGAAAGGCAGAGATCAGAGTTAGCAATTTTCTTATGTTTTGACATTATCTTCCTCTTCCACTCTCTTTTTTTTCCTTTTTTATAATTTGCTACCCTATTAACATAAGTTTAAAATTAAATAATTGTTAAAAGCATGAAAATTTCAAATTGAATAATTGTTAAAAACAATTTTATTTAGGTCATGTGTGCTTCCACTGTTCGCAACCAACTTTGGAGCTTCAAAGTTGTCAAAAACAAAAAGAATTACCAAACTGGCCGGGTCCAGAGCGGTCGTCAACGCCTTTTGGCCTGCACACAATTGCCCAGACCCATAAAAAGCCGAGCGCCGGCGAGCCGTAAAGAGCTCTCCAAAGCACTTTCATACCAATATGTGTAAACCATTAAACTCCACAGGCCCCGAGCTTTTAACCCACAAGACCAAACAGAAATATGTATATTGCATTTAACATACACACATTTACCCTATATGTTTTCAATTCATTTTTGTGCGAATATTAACGATTGGGGAGGAGAAACTGGAATTGTTTACAATGCAAATGCAATTTATTGATGATGTCTTTTAATCGAGTGTTTTCCCAGCGGTTTGTTATCTCTGAAAACGTTTATTTTAATTATTCGAGTTTTGCATGCAGAAATGCAGCTTGTGATTTTTTGCCTTGCTTTTATTTAATAAATTGTTCTCATACGGTTTTTGGAATGGAAAGTTTTTGTGCTGCTCTATCGTCTTGAGCAGCCAACAGTGCGTATGATTGATAGTGGCAAATTTATAAGCTCGTTGCAATTTTGTGTGATTTTTGCTGAAAAATATTCTCCTCTTATTTGCTTTTGCTTAGTCAATGTGCGTCATCTCGGCTATTGCCTCTCCAAACCGAACAACATTGGAAATGTATCGCATGCGAAACTTTCTGTTACCACAAGTGTGATAGATTTGAAAGTATGTGCTAGGCACTCAAGTAGTTGGCAGCCCCTCGATCTATTTCGTGGTTACACTTAGTGTAACGCCACAGGGCGTGGCTTAAATATGTCAATGACAAATTCAGACCGAGCCCTGTTGTTTAAACTGCTGCTGGCATATGCAAGACCACTACACGATGATATATGATCTGGCTTCTAGGCACAATTACCCAAAGACTCAGATCTGTCCGCCGTTCAGAAGTAGGCGAAGTAATTCAAAT